GAGGATTAGCCTAGTGAGCCGCAGCACCGGCCAATTACTTGCTCTTTATCAATATAATGTAGCTACTCGTGCCAGATATGGTGTTATGCTATAACAGAACAGGGTTTGCTGTATAATTTGAAGTTAGGCTTAAACTAACCTAAAGAAAGTGCCCAAGAAATGAATTATTTTAATTTTTTACTGTTTTCTATTATCACATACTTCATAAAATACAAGATGTACATATCTAAAACTGTAAGCAGTATGTTTGCTTGTAAATGCTATAACTCATGCTAATATCTTCATGTGCAGACAAAATATAATTATTCATAAATTGCAGGCCAGACTTCAATTCTTTCTGAACATTTACTGAGTAAGTAAGGGTTTTCCTGTCATCAGACAGCTTACCGGTGATGCTGTCCATCTCACAGAGCCTCGGGCTTTCCTCAGAACCATGAACCAGACAGGTTCATCTCCCAGTCGGAAGTGTGCACTTAGGCAAGTCAAGTACACCTTCATTCCCTACGAGTCCAACCAAATTAGAAAAGTAGAAACAAGTGAAAAACAGTAGGCAGAAGGAAGGCAGAACAAGATGGCAGGGTAAGAGTCTGGGTGATCATCCCCCACTTCCACCCGGACAGGAGCGTCCATTCGAAGAAATACCCACACAAGAAAACACCTTCACAGAAGCTAAGGAAACCAGGTGAGAGGCCACCACATCTACTTGCAGCAGCAGCAGAAAGACGTCTTGCACAACGCCGGAAGAGTAGTGTTAGATTATTTCATCACCCCCCTCCAACCATGGGCAGAATGGTGCACAGGAACGTACTGTCCACCTGGGGACAGAGAGAAGTGAGCATGGAATTTTGTTCCCAACACCCTGCCTGCTCGAGTGAAGCTCAGCCCTGTGCGGACCCTCACAGCCCTAAGGCCAGGCTCATTCCTGCACCCTGAGCCTCTGCAGGATGGGTGAGCTCTCTGGGCCACACAGCCACCACTGACTACAGCAGTCTTGGATCCAGGACAGACTTTAGCAGCAAGTAGATGTCCACCAAGCATTCCATTGTACCCCACTGCTTCAGGAGCTCCGCAGCAATGGGCTCTGGGTGTGTGCAGTGTTGTGCCACACTCAGAGGCCATGGGAGTCTACTGGCACTGTGGCCCTGGGTGTAGGGCACCCCCAGTTCTACAGTGTTTGCAGTAATACAGGCTTAGGAACCTACCAGAAGAACCTACCCAGAGTCTCTGGACAGGCTTATTGTTGGATGGAGTTCCCAGACCAACCAGACTGCAAAGATGGGAATAAGTATCTGGTTGTATTAACCACCCCCCCAAAAAAAAAACATGGACAGCCACAAGCATCAAGGACAGTTAGGGAAATATTACATCCTCAAATGAGTAAACTAAAGGGCTGAGTGAACATCCCTCAACAAATGGCGATGCATGAACTGCCCAAGAGTTTAAAATGGTTGGTAAACTTCAGGAGAACATGAGGAAAACAGTAATTAGCCAGAATAATAAAACTGAACAGAGACTGAAAATAATAAATCCAACAGGAATTTTGGAACCTAAAACTACAATGAAAAAAATAAAAAATGCAATAGAGAACATCAACATCACAATTTTTCTGAAGATTTATTTATTTGAAAAGCAGAATTAGAAGGAGTGGGAGAGAGGGAGGGGGAGGGGTGGAGAGGGAGAGAGGGAGGGGGAGGGGTGGAGAGAGAGACAGAGAGACAGAGACAAAGATACCTTCCATCTGCTGGCTTACTCCTCCCATAGCCACAACAGCTGGAGTTGGGCCAGGTTGAAGCCAGGAGCCAGGAGCTTCTTCCAGTCTCCCATGGGGGTGTAGGGACACAAGTAATTGGACCATCATTTGCTGCTTTCCCCGGCAAGTTAGCAGGGAAATGGGTTCAATATGGAGCAGCCAGAACTCAAACTGGTGCCAATATGGAATGCCAGTGGTGCAGGTGACAGTTTAACCGGCTTTCACACAACACTGGCCCCCAACAGCAAAACTGATTAAGCAAAAGAAAAAAATCTGTGAACTCAGAGACAGATTATTTGAAAATACACAGAGGAAGGCTGGCGCCGCGGCTCACTAGGCTAATCCTCCACCTGCGGTGCCAGCACCCCAGGTTCTAGTCCCAGTTGGGGCGCCGGATTCTGTCCCGGTTGCTCCTCTTCCAGTCCAGCTCTCTGCTGTGGCCCGGGAGTGCAGTGGAGGATGGCCCAAATGCTTGGGCCCTGCACCCCATGGGAGACCAGGAGGAAGCACCTGGCTCCTGGCTTCGGATCAGCGCAGCGCTGGTTGTAGCAGCCATTTGGGGGGTGAACCAATGGAAGGAAGACCTTTCTCTCTGTCTCTCTCTCTCACTGTCTATAATTCTACCTGTCAAAAAAAAAAAAAAAAAAGAGAGAGAGAGAGAGAATACACAGGGGAAAAGAAAGACAAACGGAGTGAAGACAGCTGGTAGTTTATGAGACAGCATTCACATAGCTTATGCTCCTTTCACTTCTAGTTCAGTAGAGACTAGAGAATGACACATTGCTGAAACTTTATTAAGGAATACAGGACTCTCCAAAATGAGAAAGACATAAATACCCAGGTACGTGAAGGTCAAAAGACATCCATCCGTTCACTCCAAGTAAGATGACTGCGAGGCATACCATAATCAAATTGTCTAAGACCGAACCAAAGAGGATTCTGAAAGCACCAAGGGAAAAGCAGCGAGACGCAGAAGGGCGTTCCAGCACAGCGAACAGCAGACTTTCCATCAGACCTTGCATTCCACAAGCGGAGGGCGGAAGCAAACACTGAGAGAGAACTCCAGCTTCACGGGACGCTGGAGAGAAACTGTTCAAGTTAAAAGGATGCTGATAACAACAGGACCATGTAAAATATAGAACATAACAGTAATAGAGTACAAATCAGGATGTGCTAATACTGTAACGGTGATTTCAAATCACTTATGACTTTAATATGAAGTTTAAAAGACAAAAACCATTAAAATAATGACAACCACAAAATTTATTAAGGAAATGCAATATAAAAATTTATAAACCATGGCATCAAAAATTGAGTGAAGTAAAACTGTGAGAGACTTCTTCGTGATCAAACTTAAATTGTTACATTAAGAAAGACAATAAGAGAGGAAGGATATACAAAGCAATCAGAAATCAGTTAACAAATGGCAGTAATAACACTTTACCTTTAACAGAATGAAAAAAAATAACCAATTATATGCTATTTACAGAAGACTGAATTCACCTGTAAGGACACATACAGACTAAAAGTGAAGGGATGGAAAAAGATATTCCAGACAAGCAAACAGAAAAAATAGCAGGAGGAACTGTAGTTACATCAGACTTTAATTCAAAGCTGTAAAAAGAAATAAAAAGGATACCATATGATGATAAAGGCATCAGTTCCCAAGAGAATATTACAGTTGTAAAATATGAAACCCATATTGGAGTTCCGTGATATACCAAACTGGGGACAGTACACCGTGCTTACAGTAACAGACAGCCCACCCAGACAGAATCAACCAGGAGACATTAAACTGTACTCTGCACCAAAGGGTGTGCACACACCACAGAACATCCCACACACGCTTCTGAACTGCTCAGGAAGCGTTCTCTAGGATAGACAGACAGCTCTGCACAACTCCAGGAGACTGAAATCACAGGGTGCATCACCTGATTCCCAGCAACTGGAGTGATCGTGGTGGAGAAGGAGGTGGGGAGATGCTGGCCCAAGAGCAGGAAGAAGCCGTGCAGGACACCTGTGTTCAGCAGGTGCCTGTAGCTGACAATGATATATTTTATTGTTGAAAAAGGCTAAGAAAGTGATCACAAAAGTGATAACTGTGTGAGAGAATGTTTGTTAATTATCTAGATTTAACAATCCCATAGTGTTACACACCTGAACACCTCAGGTTGTGCACAACAAACAGTTTTATATGTCAATAAGTTTCATTTTTCAAGACTTGTTTATTTTTTGAAAGAGTTACAGAGAAAGTGGAAGAGAGAGAGAGAGAAAGAGAGATTGATCTTTCATCCATTGGTTCACTACCCAAATGGCCTCAATGGCTGGGACTAGGCCAGGCCCAAGCCAGGAGCCAGGAACTCCATCTGGGTCTCCCACGTGAGTGGCAGGGGCCCAAGCACTAAGGCCATCGTACTGTACTTTGCAAGCCCATTATCAGGGGACTGTGTCAGAAGTTGAGCAAGCAGGACTACAACCACTGCCCATATGAGGTGCTGGTGTCACCAGCGGTGGCTTAACCTACTGAGCCCCAAAGCCAACCCCTGTATGTCAGTTTAAAGATTTAGATTTGTAAAGGTTTAATAACCCAATACTAGGAACAACCCAGGTGTTTGTCAGGGGCTAACCAGTGGAAGTTGAGTCAGCCATAAGAAAGGAAAAACAATTTCTACATGTAAATATCTGGGTGAATCCTCAGAGAGACAGTGAGTAGGGGCAGGGGACGGGAGCCATTCCCAGATGCTGTGTGCTGTGTGATTGCGTTTATACAGCACCTTGGAAGGTTGAGTTGCTGAAATGGAGAGCAGATGCATGGTTGGTAGGGGTGGGTGGAGGAGGGCAGTGGAGGAGCCCTGTGCTGTCTTGACTGCGTCTGTCTCAGGATCCTGGTCGTGCCCTGTGGTCTGTTGCTCAGGTTACTGTGGGAGGGGAAATGGGTGTAAGAAAATACAGACCCTCTGTCAGGTCTTACAACTGCGTGTGAATCCGTGATTATCTCAAAACGGGTAAATTAAAAAAAATGGACAGGAACTTAAAAATGTAAAGTGAATCTGGCATTCTGGGTATCGTCCTATCACAAATGATAGCAAGGATACAATCCTGAGCACAACATACATACGTATTATAAAGGGCCGTGTCCAGCACTGACTGTGCCATTCACTGCAATGAAAATGATTTAAAAATAAATACACAGCCATTAAAAAAGATGCTTTTCTAAAGATTTATCTACTTACTTGAAAGAGTTAAACAAGGCCGGCGCCGTGGCTCACTAGGCTAATCCTCCACCTTGCGGCGCCGGCACACCGGGTTCTAGTCCCAGTTGGGGCGCCGGATTCTGTCCCGGTTGCCCCTCTTCCAGGCCAGCTCTCTGCTATGGCCAGGGAGTGCAGTGGAGGATGGCCCAGGTGCTTGGGCCCTGCACCCCGTGGGAGACCAGGAAAAGCACCTGGATCCTGGCTCCTGCCATCGGATCAGCGCGGTGCGCCGGCTGCAGCGGCGGCCATTGGAGGGTGAACCAACGGCAAAAGGAAGACCTTTCTCTCTCTGTCTCTCTCTCTCACTGTCCACTCTGCCTGTCAAAAAAAAAAAAAAAAAAAGAGTTAAACAAAGAGGGGGAGAGACAAGGTCTTCCTTAGGCTGGCCACTCCACAAAGGGCCACAGTGGCCAGGACTGGGCCAGGCTGAAGCCAGGAGCCAGGAGCTTCTGCTGTGTCTCCCATGGGTGCAGGGGCCCAAGCACTTGTGCCATCTTCACTTCTCTCCCAGGCGCATCAGAAGTGGAGCAGCCATGACATGAACTGGCATCCAGATAGCTTGACCTGCTGTGGCACACAGTAGCTCACTAAAATAAAGGTATTTCCTGTTACTACTTTTTTTAAATTTTTTTTGACAGGCAAAGTGGACAGTGAGAGAGAGACAGAGAGAAAGGTCTTCCTTTGCCGTTGGTTCACCCTCCAATGGCCGCCGCTGCTGGCACGTTGATCCGATGGCAGGAGTCAGGTACTTATCCTGGTCTCCCATGGGGTGCAGGGCCCAAGCACTTGGGCCATCCTCCACTGCACTCCCTGGCCACAGCAGAGAGCTGGGCTGGAAGAGGGGCAACCGGGACAGAATCCAGCGCCCCCACCGGGACTAGAACCTGGTGTGCCGGCGCCACAAGGTGGAGGATTAGCCTAGTGAGCCGCGGTGCTGGCCGCCTGTTACTATTTTTATACCATTCCACTGCTAACAGATGTGTCACGTGTTGGAAAACACTGTGCTATATGATTATAAATTCAGATTTTCATAGATGAGGTTTTCTTAAAGCACCATTTAAATGCATGATAACTTAAGTGAGGGCAGAACTTGATTGTTTTGTACACCCTTGTTTCTGCAGAACTTGGTTCTTTGTCCATGTGGATATTCAGTAAATATTAACTAGCATGCTAATGAATGAAGTATATACTTCCATTCATCCTCTTTTACTACCCAGTAGTAGTTAAATACTAAGTTAATGCTCCAATTCTATAAAGATTGATGTATTTATTTGTTAGAGTCACAGAGACAGGAGGAGAGCCAGAGAGATCATCCATCCACTGGTTCACTTTCCAGGTGGTCACAATGGCCAGGGCTGAGCCAAGTTAGTGCCAGGAACCAAGAGTTTGATCCAGGTCTCCCACATGGGTGGTGATGGCCCAAGCCCTTGAGCCATCTTCTGCTTCTTGTCCTAGGCCAAGGCAGGAAGATGGATCAGAAGTGGAGCAGCTAGGACACAAACCAGTGCCCATACAGGATGCCAGCATCACAGGTGGCAGCATTATCTGCTATGCCGCAGTGCTGGTCCCTTTCACTGTCTGTAAAATGCATTTCAGTAGGTGTATGTGGTATCCGCAGTCTTCAGAACACTAAGTAATGTAGTGCATATCATTTGTATTAAAGAGTAAATAGAGATGGGTACTAGGCAGTGCAGATAGGAACAGTCCTGATGACTGGAAAATGAGTGAGAAGAGAAAAATATGAAAGTAGCAATCGAAATACCTGTCTATGCCATGAGACTGAAGTGGTCCTGGAACTGTGTGTCTACACCGTGGGGACCAAGCTGGTCCTGGACCTATGTGTCTACGCCGTGGGGACCGAGGTGGTCCTGGATCTGTGTGTCTGTGCCATGGGGACCAAGCTGGTCCTGGAACTGTGTGTCTATGCCGTGGGGACTGAGCTGGTCCTGGAACTGTGTGTATATGCCATGATGACCGAGGTGGTCCTGGATCTGTGTGTCTATGCCATGGGGTCTGAGGTGGTCCTGGAACTGTGTCTATGCCATGGGGACCAAGGTGGTCCTGGAACTGTGTGTCTATGCCGTGGGGACCAAGGTTCCTGGAACTGTGTGTCTACGCCATGGGGTCCAAGGTGGTCCTGGAACTGTGTGTCTATGCCATGGGGTCCAAGGTGGTCCTGGAACTGTGTGTCTATGCCATGGGGACCAAGGTGGTCCTGGAACTGTGTGTCTATGCCATGGGGACCAAGGTTCCTGGAACTGTGTGTCTACGCCATGGGGACCAAGGTTCCTGGAACTGTGTGTCTACGCCATGGGGACCAAGGTTCCTGGAACTGTGTGTCTATGCCATGGGGACCAAGCTGGTCCTGGAACTGTGTGTCTGTGCCATGATGACCGAGGTGGTCCTAGAACTGTGTGTCTATGCCATGGGGACCGAGCTGGTCCTGGAACTGTGTGTCTATGCCATGGGGACCGAGGTGGTCCTGGAACTGTGTGTCTATGCCATGGGGACTGGGACAACCCTGTAGTACATCATGGAGACTGAGATAGCCCTGCAAGGGTATAGTGATCCCATGGGGCCTGAGATAGCCCTACATGTACCACAGGAAATAAGGCAGCACTGCACTATGCATCTTCTGTAAGGATCAGTGATAGCCCCACACTGTACCATGGGGTCAGTTAGCCCCACACTGTACCATGGGTCAGATAGCCCCACACTGTACCATGGGTCAGATAGCCCCACACTGTACCATGGGGTCAGATAGCTCCAAACTGTACCATGGGGATAGATAGCCCCACACTGTACCATGGGTCAGATAGCCCCACACTGTACCATGGGTCAGATAGCCCCACACTGTACCATGGGGTCAGATAGCCCCACACTGTACCATGGGGACAGATAGCCCCACACTGTACCATGGGGACAGATAGCCCCACACTGTACCATGGGTCAGATAGCCCCACACTGTACCATGGGGACAGACAGCCCCACACTGTACGATGGGTCAGATAACCCCACACTGTACCATGGGGACAGATAGCTCCACACTGTACGATGGGGTCAGATAGCCCCACACTGTACCATGGGGACAGACACCCCTACATTGTACCATGGGATCAGATAGTTCCACACTGTACCATGGCTCAGATAGCCCCACACTGTACCATGGGTCAGATAGCTCCACACTGTACGATGGGTCAGATAACCCCACACTGTACCATGGGGACAGATAGCTCCACACTGTACCATGGGGACAGACAGCCCCACACTGTACCATGGGTCAGATAGCCCCACACTGTACCATGGCTCAATAGCCCCACACTGTACCATGGGACAGATAGCCCCACACTGTACCATGGGTCAGATAGCCCCACACTGTACCATGGGGTCAGTTAGCCCCACTCTGTACCATGGGTCAGATAGCCCCACACTGTACCATGGGTCAGATAGCCCCACACTGTACCATGGGGTCAGTTAGCCCCACTCTGTACCATGGGGACAGATAGCCCCACACTGTACCATGGGTCAGATAGCTCCACACTGTACCGTTGGGACAGACAGCCCTCAAATGAACATCTGTACCATGGACACTGAGATAACCCTGCAGACATAAGGAATGAGAGAAGCATACACACACATACATGTTTTATGTGCATACTCCCTGTGAGGACTGAGATCGCTCTATGACTATACCATGTGGACTGAGTTGACCCTACGGTTGTGTTGAGGTAGGAAGAAAGGACTAAACTGAGGGCTGAACACTTCTGGAGATGCAGAAGCAGTGAAGAAAGCCCGTTCCATTAATAGTTACTTCCGAATCACCCATCCCCGTGATCACGTTTTTCTAAAATGAGAGTTTCTGAACGTGCCCACATGGCCATTTTTCCATAAAACTCAAATCTAATGCTTAAATCCTAACCTGTTTTCTTTTGTTCATGCATTTAGGAAATGACATAATCAATTTTCTGCATCATTTGGGTTAGAAGAAAAGATGTATAAAGCTGAAATGAGCGTAGCGTTCTGGGCCCATTCATTATCAGTGGTTCCTCAGTTAGGAGGGCCCCTGAGGCTCAGACGGGCTTTTTCACCAAACCTGTGTGGCCTCAGTCAGTGGAAGCAGCCCACACCGGCTGTGTGCCGAGCAGGCAGCGGCTAGCTGATGGGCCACTAGCAATTACTTTGACAGCAGGAATTGCCAACGGCAGTAACTGGCTTCAGAAGAAGCCAAACAGACCCCTTTGTAGCCCATAAATAATGGTAAATATTGCAGAGATATACAATACTTATTTTTTGCCTGTTACCTACGTGTCTAAGAGAACGGTCTGCATACTAGTGAAGGAATTCCGCACTAATCAAGAAGTAAACGTGTGATGGCTTATCTTTTGATTTTCAAAACTTACCTATACATTTACCATTAATATTTCTCTTTGAAAATTGAACATTAGACAAGTGGAAAGTCTAAAAGAAAATGTTAGGAAGATATGCTTCCACAAGTTTGGAGTTAGAGGAGTGTGAAGTAGGAAGTAGACCTGCCAACTGGAGTGGACTCCCGAGGGTGGGCGCTCGCAGAGGCAGCTGGCCCTGTTCCGTGTCCGACGCCCTGTGCCCGGCCCCTGCGGCAGGGCAGGAACATAGCAGCAGGCTCCGCCCTGCCTCCACGCGGGCCAGCACCACATGGGGTCCCTGGGGGTATATTTTGCGGCTTCAGTGGTGGGTTGCCATTGGATCATTTATAGGGGTCTCCACCAGCCCACAGGACCCAGACCAGGAGGTAACGAAAAGAAAGGGGCTCTTTATATGGCCACTGGGATTACTCTTCTCTGTCTGAGCAAAGGGAGGGACTTGGACTGGGTCAGCTGCTCCCAGCATTCAGCAGACGAAACCAGGAGAATAAAGTCCCCCGCACGTGGGACTGGTGGTGACCTCCGAGGGGACGTCTGGGTCACGCCCAGAGGTCTCTCTGCCATGTTTCCCCGATTTCGGCCTGGCTGTGCTTGCGTGAAGAAGCACGCAGCCAGAAGTCAGGCAGCTGGGATGGTTAGGTGTCTTTGGGTAAATCCCATAATTGCCTGTCGCCTCAGATTTTCCTGTGTTTGGCACACTCCTGCCTGATGTTTTGCAGAGTTTAATGCATGTATGTGAAGCAGTACAGTATATGTGAAATAAATATGTAAATGGTTGTATGAAGTAAGCACCTGTGAACCGTGTAGGGTGAATGTCCTGTGTTGCCGACAGCCGGTTGGTGCACACCTGCTGCTGACCCAGGTACTGGACACGGGTGGGGCACAAGCAGGGCTGCTGCTGACCCAGGTACTGGACACGGGTGGGGCACAAGCAGGGCTGGGGGTAGTTTCGCTGATCCCAGGAGGCTCTAGGCCGCAGAGGCCGATTCCTGGCTCAGGTGACATGTCCGTCCCAGGGTGCCATCCTCCCTCAGAACTCCCCCTCGTCCTCAGAGCCTCTGAAGACTGTGGTGGGGAGGGCACCCTGGGAGTCACCATGCTCCGTAACAGCTGTGTCTAGGAGTGACACACACCTCTCCCACTGGCATAAGGCAGTAACAGGGCCACACCTAGCACGAGGGACCTGGAGAGCTGCAGTCCTACTAGGAGTCCAGAAGAGTCTGGAATATTTGATGGGCAGCACTGGTGACCGTCACAGATAGTTCTATGTTCTACAGCTGGATGACTTGCAGGAGAGAAGCCTTCAGGGTGGCGCTAACATCTGCTACCGACACTACCCCATTCTTTCTGCACAGCGTTTGCTAACCACGTGACTTTCTCGATTTCCCAGTTTTAAGGATTTGGTGGCATTAAAAAGTGCAATAGCCCTACTGCGGACTACCCTGAAAAGCAGCACTACTATAAAATCTCACTTCTGTTTGCTTTGCCAGACATTGACGAATGCTCTGAAGGCTTTGTGCAGTGTGACAGCCGCGCCAGCTGCATTAACCTGCCTGGATGGTACCACTGCGAGTGCCGGGACGGCTACCATGACAACGGGCTGTTCTCTCCGAGTGGGGAGTCGTGCGAAGGTCAGTGCCGGGAGGGCCCAGAGTTCAGGCGCTCTCGAGTGGCGCAGACAGTACAGAGGACGTGGCAGACTGATTCCTGTTTAAGACATTTGTGGTTTTGTTGTCTGTACAAGAGTGATGAAAAACATGGAAAAACCTAACTTTAGCTTATGAACTATCATAATTAATTTTTAAATAATTGAACTTTGTGACACTTATCAACAGATACCTGTGAAACTAGGAGGATGTTTTCTGAATGAAAAAACACATACTGTCACATCTACATTTAAAAATGGAAACATGCAAAGCACTGGCCCCAAAATAGGTAGAAGACGCGGAGAGGAGAGCAGGCCCAGGGAGAATGGGCAGAGGAGCTGCCCGGGTTCCACGGCCGAGGGTGGCCCACCAGGTGCCTGCTGGCGGGGCTCCCACACGGGCCCCTCGCCTGGATAACGAGGCAGTGCTTAGTGGTGCTGAATGCTGGTCTGCGGCATACGAGAGGTTTTCAGCCTCAGGAGTAGGAAATTCAGCGAGAGCCTTCGGTTAGCTGCCGTTGGTTTTGAATTATTTTCAGTGAATGACAAGCAAGGCTTTAGAAAGCAGAGCTCAGTCAGTGAGGGCCAGCAACACTGCCCAGCGCCAAAGGCTGTGTCCTCAGCATGGCTGGCGCAGCAGTGGAGAACAAAGGGAGACTCGGGATTCTCTCTGGCTGTACTTACTGAGAGTAACGGGTGAGCAGGATGGAGTCGGGGAAGCCTTGGAGAACTGAACTCCCAGACGTTGACGTGGGAAAGCTCAGGCCCTCTGCCTAGGCCTCAGAGGGTGTCACACAGAGATCCCTGCAGCACGGGGTGAGGGGTGCCACAGCTTCCGTCTCTGTTCAGGCAGCAGAGTTCTGGACCTCATGAGAGGATGCAGCACGGTGTTCACAGGGATGGGATAACCACCTGTTGTGGGCCGAGGCGTCCTCTTGTATTTATGAGTGCCCTAGAGTATTCCCAGCCCTGTGGAGGAAGCAGGGAACCACACGTCTGAAATGCAAGTGGACCCGAGGTGGCTGTTCCCTAAGAGGCTGCTCTGCTGTCTCCCGTAGTGTTTAATAAGACCACCACGCATGAGGGATGACACTGGACGTTTATAAATCACGCGAATCACACAGACATCTGCAGACCGAGATGCTTCTGGGTGTGGCCTGTGTCTGGCCGGCGCCCGCACATGCTGCTTTCTCTGGAGAAAGACAATCCCTCGGCCGCTGGCTGTCCTCCGCGTGTATGACGCAGACCTCCAGAGGGCTAAGCTAGTTATCTGCTGACGCGTAGAACAGGACTCCCAGATGAGCCACTGGAAACGAGGAACACCATCGTGCCATCTCTGTGGGTGGTGCTCAGCTGGGTGCCTGTCTCCTGAGACTGGAGTCAAGCTCCCCTCTCCTGGAGGCCTCTGTGGGTGGCCAGTGAGGAATCCACTGCAGGGCTGTGACAGGCCTTGGCTCCTCCGCAATCCAAGGGACAGAACTGGCCCCAGCTGGAGGCCAGTCTTTGTAACCTAGTGTCAGATGTGATGACGTTTCCCTGTCAGGCGAGAGCAGGGAAGTGCAGCTCCTCTCCGAAAGGAGGAGGTTGCACAGGGTGTGAGGAAGTGCCGAGGCTCACCGGAGCCCTCACCGGTGTCCAGCGTTCCTGCCCCGCGTCCGAGGTGCTGTTCCCCGTAGCTCTGAGAGAGAACCCTTGCCTACCTCCTTCCATCTCCCAGGCTGTGAACTGCCACGCTGGGAAAGCCGGGCCAGCTTGCTTTCCCAGGCGGACTCTGCTGCCTTCCTCCCACTTCAGGGAAAGAACTGGCTCCTCTCCTATCAGAGGCAGAAATTGGGGCAGGTGAGATGCCACCGGGGAGGCCACAGCCGTGGTGGAGTGCCCGTTAGTCTCTCATCTCCACTCCCCATTGCAGCTTGCTGCTGGTGCAGACCACAGGAGGCAGCTGGTGATGGCTAAAGGACTTGAGGCCCTCACCACCCACCTGGGAGACCTGGGTTGATTCCTCGCCTCCTGCTTCGGCCCCGTCCACGGGCTCTGGCAGGCACTGGGGAGGTGAACCAGTGGATGGTTCTGCCAGTAAGTTCCCCGTCACCTGACTCAGGACAGACGCTCACTTTCCTGCTACCTTTAGAAGACACCCCGTGTAGGAATGACCCTGCCTGCTTCCAGCCAGCGTCTTCTTTTCAAGATGGCTGAGTTTCCATCCTCTCAAGCCCACTGGTCAGTTGCTGTCTCCTTGCTTGAGCACTTAGGATCTGACAAGGTGGCTCAATGAGCATTCTTCACTCCCACTCACTCTCAGCTCCGGCCTCCCCTTCTGTTCTCCGTGGACCGCTGTCTGCCAGTGTCCTGGGACTTGGACCTCACCAGGCCTATCTGTTTTCCATGTCTAACCCACCCAGTTCCACAGCTTGAAGTGCCGTCTGCGTAGCCCTAATTCAGCTGCACGTTGGATTTCCAGGGCACTGCGTGAGGACTCAGACCACTCCCACTAGAGCAGAGCTCGGCACTGTGCTCCACTGGTTGCCCAGAGCAATATTTTGGAGTCACTGTTTCTTCTTTTTCTTGTACTTCACATCCGATCCATCAACAAATCTCACAATTTTGACTTTCAAAATGCACTCCAGTCTGGTTTCCTGTGAGGATACCACTTGGGGCTGAGGCACCATCGTCTTTGCCGGGGCCACGGGAGCAGCCCCCAGACTGCAGCGTTTGCCTACAGCCCCCAGACTGATGATTCTAAAACGGAAGGAGCTGTCAAGGCCCTTCTGTCAACACCCTTTTCCAGCTCTCTCAGGAAAAGGTCTCAGGAAAACCCAAGCCCTGACCAGGGTCCCCCAGGACCTGCACTGTATGTGCCCATGGCTTCCCAGTGTTTCTGCAGTGTGCTGAACAGACACCTTTGCGGGTGCTGCTCCCTTGTGTGGGATGCCCTCCCGCAGGTCTGTCCAGGACTTTGTTTGATCTAGTCCAGCTTTCTTCTCACAGCGACCTCTCCTGGGCTCCCAGTGTAAAATACCCTCCCACTTCTCACACTGTGTTCACCTACCCTGCTTCTCTGCCCTTCATAGAAATTCTAAGCTCTGAAAATACAGCATATATTTGTTTGCTTGCTTATGATCTGCTGCAGAATGTGAGTTACAAGGGCCATAGCTTTTCTTAGCTTATCAGCTACTGTACTTCCAGGCGGTGAATTTGTGTAATGAAAGATTGATATGGATGATAGGTAGATGGATGAATAGGTAGACAGATAATCTTTTAATCAGAAGTACATGAGGCACCTAACCTAATTTGGAATTAGTTATTAGCGTGACATGTAGTAGACAGATGGGCATATTATGTTAGAAGTAGATATACGGCAGCGATCAAGATAAAATGTAATGAAGTACATTAACAAGTGTTAAGTCCAGAAAGCAACAAGGACAATTAAAGCAAACATTAAGATAACACATGATAAATGTCAAGTTGGTGAGGTCAAGGACTGAGATACCTACAGAAAAATACTTTTCAGGGAAGTTCCACAAACACAGAAAAAGTGGAAAACCTTATTTTTTAAATTTTTTTTCAATTTTTTTTATTTAATGACAGGCAGAGTGGACAGTGAGAGAGAGAGAGAGAGAGAGAGAGGTCTTCCTTTGCCGTTGGTTCACCCTCCAATGGCCGCCGCGGCTGGTGCGCTGCAGCTGGCACACCACGCCGATCCAATGGCAGGAGCCAGGTGCTTCTCCTGGTCTCCCATGGGGTGCAGGGCCCAAGCACTTGGGCCATCCTCCACTGCACTCCCTGGCCATAGCAGAGAGCTGGCCTGGAAGAGGGGCAACCGGGACAGAATCTGGCGCCCTGACCGGGACTAGAACCCGGTGTGCCAGCACCAGCCTGGAAACCTTATTTTTTGAAAACTATTTAGGGAAGATGGTACTGTTATCTACTAATAGAATTTATAGATTATTAGAAAAATCTAGTACTCTGTCTAAAGGCAGCAGGCTCTGAAGGGTCCTTTTAAAAAAGCCACCTGCATACTTTTAACAAAGACCAAATACTTCTAAGTTACTGTCCACGTAGGGCAATTTCAGTGATATGTAGAATTGTAATATCAGTATTTAGGAGTTCTTTTTTAAGACTGTGATTATATCTGGGAAGGTGCCATTTTTTTGTTGCTTTAGAAAAAAGCAAAGAATTCTGAGATGGACAAAGCCACAGCAGTGATCTGCAGTTAGTGTGCAGTCACAAGGACGTGTTCAGACACCTGCACTTTCCCTTCCTCCTTGGGCTGTGCGTGTGTGAGCCGCCACCTAGCCATGGCCAGCTGCGTTCACCAAACCCTACGCTGCCTGCCTCAGAGGTTCCTGGTCCATCCCAGGGAATGTGCCGGAGTGCCCTTGGCCGTATCCATACCGTCATTTCTCCTGACGCAAGCAGCTAGTTAGTACATTATGACGTTTCTGCCCATACATTTCTCCGGGCGTGGCAAGCACGTACCAGCCACCGTTGGGGGTGGATTTTCTTCTCTTATAATTGTACTTTATTTAAGTGCACATGTCGTTCTGGGGCTGTGTGTCTATTTCTTGTCTTCTGCAACAAAACCAAGAATTCTTTGTTCCTTTAAGAAAAAATGAGGCTGGCGCCATGGCTCACTTGGCTAATCCTCCGCCTGCAGCACCGGCACCCCAGGTTGTAGTCCCAGTCGGGGTGCCAGATTCTGTCCCAGTTGCTCCTCTTCCAGTCCAGCTCTCTGCTGTGGCCCAAGAGGGCAGCAGAGGATGGCCTAAGTGTTTAGGCCCCTGCACCCGCTTGGGAGACCATGAGGAAGCACCTGACTCCTGGCTTCGGATTGGTGCAGTGCCGGACGTAGCATTAGGGGAGTGAACCAATGGAAGGAAGACCTTTCTCTCTGTCTCTCTCTCTCACTGTCTATGACTCTCTCTCTCTCTCTTACTGTCTAACTCTGCCTGGCCAAAAAAAAAAAGGGGGGAGCCGGCGCTGCGGCTCACTAGGCTAATCCTCCGCCTTGCGGCGCCGGCACACCGGGTTCTAGTCCCGGTGGGGGCGCCGGATTCTGTCCCGGTTGCCCCTCTTCCAGGCCAGCTCTCTGCTGTGGCCCGGGAGTGCAGTGGAGGATGGCCCAAGTGCTTGGGCCCTGCACCCCATGGGAGACCAGGATAAGTACCTGGATCCTGCCAACGGATCAGCGCGGTGCGCCAGCCGCAGCGCCCCGGCCGTGGTAGCCATTGGAGGGTGAACCAACGGCAAAAGGAAGACCTTTCTCTCTGTCTCTCTCTCTCACTATCCACTCTGCCTGTCAAAAAATAAAAAAATAAATAAAAAAAGGGGGGGGGAGGGAGAAATTACACCATACCTGGTGGTAGAGCTGTTATTTTTAAGTCACGTGAAATGATTGCAAATGATTCTGCCAAGTGCAGAATAATGTTCTCACAGTGGATACTGAAAGGGTTATGTAGCACGAGGTGTCTACAGAGTGTGTGCTCACAGAGCGCACATTACTATAGCTAATGGTTTTCCTGCCTACCTCAGTTCCTAGTTCTAAAACTATGCAATGGGATGCAAAGATCAGTTTATCAAATATAGTATTCTGAATAGTCCGAATATAGAGCTCACTCATAAAATGTCATTTTCATTACAAGGAGAAAATTTTATCTGATCTGCAAAGAACTGTATCGATCATTGTACTCATGTTTTAAAAGACACATCCTCACACTGGCCAACAATTCTCTGTTTATTCTGATTCTAAACAGCATTATCCTTGGCAAGTCCCACTATAATAAAGCTCACTGTAATTTTAACAAAATCATTGGTTTTGTTAAAATGGAAATAAAATCAAGGTAAACAGAGAATTTATGACATGGATTATTTTCAGGGACACAAATGTAATGGAACTTACATATTTAAAATTTAGATACAATCTTGAGTAGTCCAAGTCAATTAATATTGAAATCCAGCCACTTACAGTTCTTCCTTATATCCTGCCTTTAAGGTCTTGAAAGGGATGGATGTGCAGCCTCCCGGCTTCAGAAGCCAGGAATCCCACCTTCTCTCTGCCCACGTGTGCTGCGATTTCCCTCTTCTCTCTTGACCTTTACTCAAGAAACAGATGGACTGGGAAGTGCTTACTGCCACTCATGCAATATCCTGGAATGTGTTTGGGCTCGTGACCTTTAATATGGGGTAAATACGTGAAGCGCACCTCCTCTCACGGAGCTGTCCGTGGGTCAGGGTGTGTTTGCTTTTCATCTGTATGAAAATGCTGTCGGCTGCGGCTGCCACGGAGGCAGCGAGTCTGGGTGAGGAATGGGCGGCTGCCAGTGGAGTCACACAGGGGACGAAGCAGCGATTTGAAATGCGAAAGTTAACAGGGAGTGTGTTCTTTGTGAGGTCTGGTAACTGCCCCTCGTCGGGGGAGTGCAGTCTCTGGACTGTGTGACAGTCCCTGGACTGTAAGGGAGAACACCTCGGCCCACACTGGTGGGAGCAGACGTGTGCCGTGCTGCAGCTAGGGAATGGGGCTCGAAACAGAACAAACAGCCTGAATGACCCCCTGACATTTTCCTTACCCCTTTTTATTATTTCAGATTTCTCTCTAGAAACCTTCCATCTGTAGTTCATTCCCCAAATGGCCACAATGGCCAAGGCTGGGCCAGGCTGAAGCCAGGAACCAGGAGCTTCCTCCAGGTCTCCCATGAAACACTTTAGACATCTTCTACTGCTTCTCCCAGGCCATTAGCAGGGTGATGAATTCTAAGTGGGCCAGCTGAGACGCAAGCCGGTACTCATAGGAGATACCAGTTCACTGTATCACAGCGCTGGCTCCATGAGCACCAGCTGAATACTGGGCTGCAATACCAAATAAAACACCCTAAGCACTTGAAGAATTCTCACAAAGCCTGCGGTATCCAGAGACGGAAACGCTGACACTCATCCAAGGGTAACTGGTTTCGCAGTCAGACACTTAGTGTCTTCTTGTGAAGTCTCACATCACAGGCACGGCTGTAGTCAGCGCTCATGGTGTGGCGTGTGCCAGAGAGACCACTTGCTCATCCTCTAACCATGCTGCCTGCCGCTTTCTTGGCTGTAGATGTCGACGAGTGTGGGACCGGGAGGCACAGCTGTGCCAACGACACCATCTGCTTCAACCTGGATGGTGGCTATGACTGCCGGTGCCCTCACGGCAAGAACTGCACCGGGGACTGCATCCACGATGGGAAGGTGAAGCACAGCGGTCAGATCTGGGTGCTGGAGAGCGACCGCTGCTCCGTGTGCTCATGTCAGGTGAGTGGTGGTGAAACACTCGGAGCCAAGATACCAACTTAGCGTTTGCAACTTCTTCAGCACAGTGCCTGAGGATTCTGGAAAATGCAATCATCCATGGAGCCATAGTGAATCTCCTGATGTCATCAGTGTCTTCTCCTAGGCAGTCCTGTTCCTCCAAGCCAGGCAAACACTGCACCCCAGCCCTGACTGACTGTACGTTTTCAGAGCCTCCCGTGGACGGGCTGCAGAGCGCACACTCCTTGTGTGACGCCTCAGCACTGCCTCGGAGCCTGCCTCAGTGACCCAGCCCTTGCTCCTGCTGATGGCATCCACTGTATCACTACACAGGATGCGCTGCTGTGTGTCCCTGCTTGTAACATTTTCATTCCCAGTGTGCCTCTTTCCCCATAGTTATATCATCACATTCAGGAGGAAGAATCTGGGTTGTACTTCAGTTTTAGACAGGTGTTTCGTTGTACATCCAGTTAGTGCTAGACTTAAAAGTTAACTGAGTAATAGTATGTACCAAGGACTCAACTGCTAGGAAAAAATGGTAAAACTTGTACAAGAATGTGAGGCTATAAACATTCCAGAAGTCTAACAGTATGCATGAGTAAAAACTTACTAGCTACCAAATACTCACAGCTTCACAGAAATGAAACTTAGCATCCAAATTGCAGTGCTAATATAAAAACACATGCATATTCATATATATATATATATACACATTTGTATCCACAAGGGCCAGGCAGCTGTTACCATTGTTCTGTTCATTTCTGGAATGTTTCTTTCTGGTCAGGTCACTGGAGGAGTAGTGGATGGAAAAGAAGTCTTCTAGCTTGGGTAAATTCTGTGTGTCAGCTACAAAATGGGATTTTAAAGAAAATTGATTATGTTGGGCAAACAGTCTGAGTTAGTTCAACTTGAAAACCAGCTACTGATACACATACACATGGGTTGCAAGCACACGCAGGTTGGAGGAAATGTACATTTTCTTTCAATTCCACCTTCCACAAACATGTTGAATGCCCTGGTGTGTGGGTGGGGTCAGTTCACTGAGCAATGGACGTTTGTGTAGCCGCGCTATTTCCTTCTCCCCTAGAGCGGATTCGTCATGTGTCGACGGATGGTCTGCGACTGTGAGAATCCCACAGTTGATCTTTTCTGCTGCCCTGAATGTGACCCCAGGCTCAGCAGTCAGTGCCTCCACCAAAATGGGGAGACGGTGTACAACAGCGGTGACACCTGGGTCCAGCGCTGCCAACAGTGCCGCTGCTTGGTGAGTCTGCCAGGGAGGCTGACGGGGAGGGCTGAGGACAGCACTTGCCAGAGCTGTTGTGCAGTGCCGTGCAGTTGTGCCCTGCCATGTTGAAAGGTGGCCCTAGAGAGAACAGTGGCCTGGGTGCCAGGAAGCTCACTCCTTTTCCAAGGAGAAATTCTACCAGTCCACTTCCACCAATCATGCTCAGATGTGGGGGGAAAAAAAGCAACGCCCACTGATGCTTCGTTCCTCTAAAGAGTATCGCCATGCGCACTGGTCTGTGGGCACTGTTTTGCATGTGATGTGGATATGCAGTAAGTACATATTAGAATTGCCTTCTCCATGTTTCTGAAACTGTTCCTGGGAACACTGGGTGGGAAGCAGTGAAACACCAGCCTCCCTGAGGGGGCCTGAACTCCTGGTCTCCTCCTCCTCCCCAGGCAAGGCCGAGCGCGTCAGAGAACGCCTTATTGACGCTTCCTTTTTATTTTCAACCCAAAAACTGATTGACAGAGCAAGGTCAGTTTCTGTGCCCGAAAGCTGCTTTCATGTCTGAAGCCATGAGATTCCGAATTATGAAGAAAATAGGAGACATGTGGGAACTAATTTTTAAAAAGACCCATTCACACGTTCCCATGTGAAATAAAAAAGGTGAGTTCCTAAAGTTTTCATCAGTCTACACTGAGAAACATACAGGTAAACAAAGAAAAACTATCAAATGCCCTTTGTACTTGGACCAGAGTGTATGCAAAGGATCAAATGGGAAGTTAGAAGAATGGAGATGGCGTATTGTAGGCAAAAAGAGGAAGACGGCCTTCCTGCTGGCACGGCGAGGTGGCCGCACAGGTGTTGGAGGTGTGGGGCCGCTCTTGGTAATCCAGGAGACTGCAGAACCGTGCAGGTAGCCTGTGAGGTCCAAGCGTGGACATCTACCACCTGAGCTGAGCCGTGGGCACTGAGCTGCCCCCGCCTCACCCTGGCACATCTGCTTTCTCGGCAGCAAGGGGAGGTCGACTGCTGGCCCCTGCCCTGCCCAGATGTGGAGTGCGAGTTCAGTGTCCTCCCGGAGAGCGAGTGCTGCCCGCGCTGCGTCGCTGATCCCTGCCAGGCGGACACCATCCGCAATGACATCACCAAGACCTGCCTGGATGAGATGAGTGTGGTCCGCTTCACCGGGTCCTCGTGGATTAAGCATGGCACAGAGTGTACGCTCTGCCAGTGCAAGGTAAGCCCAGTGGATGTGGTCGGCTGTGTGCACCTGGCTGCTACGTGAGGCTCAGAGGTGTCACTGTGCTGGCCTACACCATGGATACAGCGTTTTTCCTCATGTTACTCACACACGGCTTTATTTGCTCCATGGCTCACTGTCCCATGCGCCCTACACCATGTGTCGTGGGGAAGCAGAGGGCCTGGCTGAAACCAGAACCATCAGGTATTTAAGTAGGCCATGTCTAAGGTATGTTCCCACGTATCTGTAAGGACTGCGCCAGCACACTTGATGTTTCTTCTCATGATGGAAGACAACATTATCTTATTGATTTTTATCTAGTTCTTTTATGAGGTCTGTAAAACATATTGACAAAGCAGATACATTACATTTTTCCAAAGTGGAAATCAATCTGGCAAAAATTGGCTTATTTCTTGGTTTGTTGTGGTCAGTTACACTGAATTGAAAAATTTAAGATCTATTATTTACCACACGTTATTTCCACACTTGGAGAAAAATCATTATAAAGATTCTTCTTATTCTTGTAGGAAAACAGAGCATTGTGTCTTTTACTTCAGTGGAGGAAAAAACACAGATTAGGTTGGCAGAGGACCTAGAGATGATAGATGTTGGAAATGCTGATGGCGTTCTGGTTGGATCATCCCTACAGCCACCTGACTGAGTGGTCAGGGCACTGCGCACGTAGAATCTTGGAGTCAGCCCTCCAGTTCAGGAACAGATGAGGGGTCCAGACATCAGGCTGCTCTGTGCTCACAGAGCAGTCTCTGTAGCTGCTCCACGTTCTGCATCTTGTAAAACTTTTTCCACAAAGCGATCTCATTCAGAGCCGCTTCTCACCAGGGCAGCTTGCTCTAACAGGACAAAGACACATAAAGTGCTTTAAGACAGATTTCAGTCTACTTCAAACACAAATTCTAGCTCCATCATTCAATGCAATTTGTCAATGAGCAAAGCTTTCTGAGTGAACATTTACTGCTGTTTTCTGGAGAGCATTAGCAAATCTGAAAGTCACTAAAGTTATTCACAGCACATAGCAGTGTTCTGTAAGATAGGCTTCCCAGCATGCATCTCAGAGCTCAGCCCTCACGTCTCGTTACCAGATGCAGTGGGTCCTCTTATTCCCTTCAGGTGGGTTACAGTGCTGAGCACTGAGGACACAAGCAAGCCCTGGGTGATGGGGCACAGGCATCAGTGAGTTTGTCACTCAGTGCCTTGCAGGCAAAGGCTGTTGCGGAATTAAAGCCATGGCTTCTCACCACTAAGCTTGGATGCTTAGAAGCTACTGTTGACTGCCAAGAACACAGCTAGGAGTAGTTCTATCACTGGAAGGTGGGCGTCTGGAGGTAGAGTGGTGAGCATAGAGATAGTCACTTCTGGAAACTCTTGTCCAGTAGCTTACTATCTAGAGCTATCCCTTCAGCCTCTTTTATGTAAATTTAAAGGAAGTGAAATTAAACACTGAATTCCTCAGCTTCACCAGCTGCATTCCAGTTGCCCGGTAGCCACACATAGCTCGTGGCCATCACAGAGAACGTGTCCATGTCATAGAATCTACTGGACAGAGTTGTTCCAGTGGTCAGGACTACAGCTGCTGCAACCAAAGGCCTGCTCAGCCACACTGTATGGCCGTGGGGGACACCCTGTTAGCTTACCCGAGGAATGAGAGCAACTGGCGCCCATGTGGATGCCATGATGCCACCCGAGAGTGTTGGTAGCCCCCGTGCGGGGGTCCGAGGCTGCAGACCACATGACCTGTGGCTTCTCTGCGCTGCTCCTCAGCACAGTGAGCTCTGAGGAACACGAGTCAGCTCAGAGACCAGGCCAGCTTCCCTCCTCCATCCAAGGGTGAGTTCAGCTTTAATTTACTTAGGTTAAAAAAAAAGTTCCTTCTTTCACAAACTAAACCTGTGACTTGGAGAGGACTTCGCTCAGCCACTTGCTTCTGGTGAGTGTGTGTGGAGCTCCACAGCTGAGACGTGAGGAGGGAGGAACCTTGGGAAATCAGATGCCAGGGAGCCTCTTGACCACCCTGAGAGATCCTACAAAGCAGGAAGAGGTGAAGTCCACATGGAAAACAAGTGGGGTTTTATAGGTAAAACGTGTTGTACCCGAGGATCAGCAAGTACCAGCTAGAAGTGTCGCTCCCCCTCTTCATGGAGGAACGACACAGGACCCTGCGCTGTTCTTTCGTCTGCTCGGCCCTCCCCGGGTTTGCTGCTGGTTCTTCCCGGGTTGGCTACTATCCCTTCCACCTCCGTGGAAGGGCGGTTCCCCCTGCCACATTCCCCACTTCCGCAGGGGAGCGGCACACCGCCGGCCGGCTCTCTCGGGGGCTGCACAGGTGTTCCCCTTAGATGTTCCCGGTGCATGCCGTCTCTCTCCTCCTTTATAGTCCTCCTCCGCCAATCCCAACTCGGCTGCCCACACGCCGAGTACGCTGCTCTCCTCCAATCAGGAGCGAGTCCTACAGTTTATTGGCTGAACTGGAGGCACCTGTGTAGAAGCTGTTTTCTTCTCTCCCAGCGCCATATTGTGGGAGAGCAGATGCATAGAATAAGTCTTAATTCCAGTAACTCAGTCTAGTCCGGGTTGCTCCCCACAGATCCCCCTTTCTTTTTATTTTTTGGCGTTGATACGCGCCTGTCTTCGGTGTCCTGCAGCACACACTCTGCTCTACTTGCTAGAGTTGCCACAGGTTCTTACACGTCCTATCAATCAGGCAAACCGAATCCGGGTCCTCTCTTCGCCATGTTGTGAGGAGGTTTTTAGGCGCTGATGCGTGCCTGTGTTCGGTGCCCTGCAGCGCATGCTCTGGTCGAGCCGCCTGTTGGTGCTTACCGCCCTAATCAGGCAGACCGAATCCAAGCTTTCTCATTGCCGTATTGTGGGGGAGACTTATTAGTGTTGGTTCGTGCCTATCTTCGGTGACCTGCAGCTCATACTCTGGTCGAGCTGCTTGCTGGTGCTTACCGCCTTAATCAGGCAGACCGAATCCAAGCCTTCTAATTGCGGTATTGTGGGGAGGCCTTACTGATGTTAATTCGTGCCTGTCTTCGGTGACCTGCGGCGCATAAGCTGCTAGCCGCCCGCAGGTGCTCACCGCCTCCCTAATCAGGCAGACCGAATCCAAGCTTTCTTATTGCCATGTTGAGGGGAGGCCTTTCTATTTCTCTATTTCTCTATCTCCGGGCATTCCTATTTCTCCCATTTTACTTCTATCTTCCAGCATTCCTATTTCTCTCATTTTACTTCTAAACTTCTGTTTCTCTTATCCCCGCGGCCTCCCGGCGCCCGCCCCGAGGCTGCTTCTCGGCGGCTTTCCGGCTGTGAGCCGCTTCAGCCCGCGCCTCTCTCATCTGCGCGGCTTCGCGGCTCTGCGTGGCTCGGCTTCGCGCGCACACTCCGCGGTCTCTCACTAGCCCCGCGTTCCCTATCTACTTGTGCCCCGCATGCTCTCTCTGCGCGCGGCAGCCTCCGCGAATCACACAGCGTCAGCTCACGTCTCCGCCACTAGTATTCAATCTAAGTTCCCTGGGCTAACCTGGCGAATTCAACCCAGCTCACGTCTCCGCCCCACGATCTGGCTTCCCGTCCTTTGCTCCCCGGGCTAATCAGACGGATCCCAATCTGGCTTATGTTTCTGCTTCTGGTTTCAACTTTTCGCCCCCTATTCCCGGGCTAACTTGAGAATCCCAAAGTGGCTTTCGTCTCCGCCTTGGCCTGCCCCCCGCGGCTTCAATTTCCCTAACATTTTTCTCTACCCGGTATATTTCCCCAAGCTTTCCTCCAACAATACTCCTCCCTCATTTCTCCTGGCCTCTCCCCACAGTCCGTATCCGAGTCTGTTTGTTCTAGCTTTCACTTTCGCTTTCGACCTTAGAGATTTCTCCCAGCTTCCCCCCGTAGTCCGTATCCGAGTCTATGCCTAGGCTTTCAATAGCTTCTTCTGGCACCTTTTTCGTCCGGCTTTTCCCTAGGCTGTTTGCTAGTCTCTCTCTCCGATATTTTCCACTTCTTCCCGTTTCTTCCCTCCTAAGTTTCCTATCCGTCCTAGGTTTCCTATCCGAGTCACGGCACCATTATGTCGCTCCCCCTCTTCATGGAGGAACGACACAGGACCCTGCGCTGTTCTTTCGTCTGCTCGGCCCTCCCCGGGTTTGCTGCTGGTTCTTCCCGGGTTGGCTACTATCCCTTCCACCTCCGTGGAAGGGTGGTTCCCCCTGCCACTTTCCCCACTTCCGCAGGGGAGCAGCACACCGCCGGCCGGCTCTCTCGGGGGCTGCACAGGTGTTCCCCTTAGATGTTCCTCCTAGATGTTCCTGGTGCATGTTCTCTCTCCTCTTTTATAGTCCTCCTCTGCCAATCCCAACTCGGCTGCCCACACGCCGAGTACGCTGCTCTCCTCCAATCAGGAGCGAGTCCTACAGTTTATTGGCTGAACTGGAGGCACCTGTGTAGAAGCTGTTTTCTTCTCTCCCAGCGCCATATTGTGGGAAAGCAGATGCATAGAATAAGTCTTAATTCCAGTAACTCAGTCTAGTCCGGGTTGCTCCCCACAAGAAGCCCTAAAAGCAGGTAAGCAGGTCTGTCTGGGGCCCAAAGCACACACAGGGGCAGCAGCACAGTGAGCTTTGCAGATGGATGGAAGAACAGAGAGTATCCCCTAAGGACTGCGATGACTGGAGGAACTCATTTTATATAATATCATGTTGAATAAAGACAATTCGATATTTATCAAAATTCTAGGGGGAGATGCCTTCTCTGCCTTAGGTGTGATAAAATATAAGATAAAAATGAACAAAACAGGAAGAAATGGAGCATGAACAAATTTTTCAGCATATTTCTTTGTTCCACCCAAAACACATAAAAATAAGAAAAGCACTTGTTCCCCATAAATAAGTCAGGACAGGATGAATAAACAATTCACAATTTAGTAGAACAGCTATTAAAATAAAAGAGGCCATCACACAACTCATTTTCTACGTGTCACAGACACT